AAAAAAAAAAAAAAAAAAATTTTTTTTTTTAATTTACAAACCTCTAAAAGAATATCGGTAAATACGGGAATATTACCGACGGATTTTTTTTTTATTTATGATCTCTGGAATTCCATATTCCATATAAAAAAAAATTATACATATATATAGTCAGATATTGACTCCTGCATTATCAATCATGATTATTATTCTATTTCAGAATTTATATTACGTTTATTTTATAATTTATAATTAACGTGCGAATAGTTAAAATAAATAAATAAGTTAATGTAGTTTAGCATTCATCGACCGCATACATTTCATGATCAAAAGTTGTTGTGTAGTGTTTGACAATCTTTTATATCTAACGCGCCAAAAAAGAATAAAATCTTCATTTTGCGAAGGGGAGAAAATTTTTATTATTATTGATAAACAAAATGGTATACAAATGTTGTGCACAATATATATATATTTATTTTTTTTTAAAAAGGTCTTTTTTATTATTACCGTTTATTTATTATTATAACTTTACTTTCAAGGTAATCTCCGTAATCTTCATGTGATTTTTGGGGTTGTTTTTTCTTGTGTAAAGTGACTCCGATGCCATTTATCTAATTATATTAATGAGAATCATTTTTTAAATTTCCATTCAAAAAAAAAAAACTTACTTTTTTTTCACTTTTTTTTTTAAAGTTAATCTTTCTTTTAAAATGGATCTTTATTCAACTAAAACTTTTTTGTTAGTTAACTTCCGAAAAGATAAATAATATACCAGATCAAAAATGAATCTAAAAAGTAATTTTTTTAAAATCACCCTTTTATATTCACTCGCATCAAGAAATTTTCATTTATATGGATTCATTAGCAATCCGCGGAATTACACTCCGAATGTGTAATTACACAGACGCAATGATCTGTCAGCACCAAACTAAGAATGGAATACTAATAGATACTAATAGCTTTTATTATTGAACTTTATTTTTTTTTAAAAAAAAATGTATGATTATGCAACAATTTTAAATAATTTTATATGGTAAATATCTAAATATTATCAGTCTCTATATAACTGATAGTTATTATGATATAATTACTGATAAGGTACAAGTACGATTTGATAGAATGTCCCTAGTAATATAATTTTTTTAACCCTTGTTTTAAATAATATTTGATAGAAAATAAATCTTTGTATTTTAAAATAAAAATAATTTGTTTCATCATATCGTACAGTACATCGCTAACGGAAATAGAATTTTTAGCGGCTCCTGCGACTTCCTGCGCGTTTTGAAATTTGAAGATCTGATTGTATTTTATTCTTGTTTATACTAAATATGGTAATTTTTTGATATTCTCACATTGCATAAGAAAAATGAATCCATTTTTTTGCTAACCATAACCTTACTGATAGATGTAAGAGGCTTTCTATGACGATAAAAGATATTGTGTAATAATAATGATAAATAATGATAATATATAAATATATAAAATATATTCTTTTTTTGTAACAATTTTACACCCTATCGCTACACGAACTGAAAAGTTTGATTCGAATCTTAATAACAATAATAATAAGATAACTAAAATATTTCACAATATAATAATAATATACAGTGTATTTCACATGGATTTCATCAAATTATAATTATTAAAAAAAAAAAAATTTATGTTTCGAGAAATGTATGTAAATGTACGACTATTAAAATTTCTAAATTTTTGTTCATTGAAATCTATACTCTTTCATAAAAAATTTGCAAATCATTTTTGTGGATCTTTTTAATTAATAATTAGAGTTCCAATCCGTCATCCGACGGATAATCACATTTTGACAGTTGTACGCTCATTTAATTAATATAAAAGAGCATTTTTTTTTAAGGATATCCTAAGAGCATAATACAGTATATAATTTAATAAATAAACTTTTTTTTCAAAAATGAAAGTGAGGAGAAATTAGGAACGGATTAAAATATCATCCGACGGATGAAAATTTCAATCCGACTAAGATTTCACCCCATTTATTTTATGTTCAATTAATTAAATAATGCATAGTCTGATCACCTTACATCGAATGCAGTTCCTAAATTATAAATTATGAAACATAAATGTCTCTTTCCAAAAATAAATGAGAAGAGATTGATCATCCGTCGGATGACGGATTGGAACTCTAAATTAATTCTGGTTAATAATTTAAGAGAAATCAACTTATATTCCCCATTTTTTGTGTGTAGATCTTATCTTAACCTGGATCGATATAATAACGTTTTTTTTTTTGAACCTATTTAATTACAACTTTGTAATGTAATAATAACCATAATATTATTTTATTATTATAATTAACTAATGTATAAGAATATAAAAATAAACTAACAATTGTATTAAATTCTATATAGATTTATAAATAAATAAAAGAATTATTTAATTTTACTATATATATAAAATAATTTAATTTAATTATTATTTAAATATAACTTATTTAATTTCTCAATTATCATTCCAACCTTTTTTTTTTTTATCATTTTTATCATTTCTACACTATTTCTACCTTTTTTTTTTATTATTCCTATACTATTTTTACTTTTTTTTTAAAAAAAAAAAATTTATTTTTTTTAAATTTATAATTATCTTTAATTATAACTAAAATAAA